ACATTTAAAAAAAAGTCAACATGGTTAAGTATTGAATCAGCTTAATGGGCTTTACTAACTTTATTATTTTGTATCTAAGGGAGTTAATTTATTTTATTTTATTTTATTCACTTAATTTTTTTGAAGAATCATCAAAAGCAAATATATATATATATATTAGGGAAAATGAGTTGGACCCCCAGTGGGGGTGTTGGGGGTCATCTCTGATTGGCTCAAAAATTATTATTATTTTTTTTTTTTTTGGGTTTTGAGCCATTGGCAGTGCGCCAACTGTCACTGGGGGTGCTGGGGGTCGCCCCCACTGGGGGTCCCAGCATTGCCCATATATTAGATAGAAAAATCATTTACACAACCAACTACAATCATGTGCCGACTTTACTAAAGACAATCGACTTTGTATACAATAATGTCACGTTTGTTTCGCGGTGTAGGTGACCGGATGGGACTAGCAACGTTGTGGGTTCCATCCACAGTGCGTTTGGTGATGGTTTGGATGAGCGGCTTCATACTCCAAGCGGCTAAGGGATTAGCTTGGGTGAATTTTGAGTGGGATTAGGAAAATAGTGAAATGATTGAGTTTATTTTATATAAAAATTTTATTTTTTTATTTTTATTTTTTTATACCAAGTGCACCTATTCGTTTTAATATTTGTTTAAATTTTTTTAATATAGAAATAATTTATTTGTTTATTTATATAAAAATAATTTAATAAATCTCCCACACTATCATCAAAACAAATACACTTTTACTTAATCATCTCTCTAACAATCCCCACATTAACAATCTCTTTACTAACAATCTCCTCACTAACAATCTCATCCAACTTAATCCACCAAACAAACGTGGCCTAAGAATGCGTTTGTTTTGAGGGATTATTCCATGGAATTGAACTATTAGTCCATCCGAACTAATAGTCCATTGTTTGGTTTAATTTTTTTACTCCGGATTAATATTTTCTCCAGACTATTAGTCCATCATATGAGGGATTATTGCATCCTAGGAGAGATGAGATTATTTCTATGGGATTGGTATCCCATGGGACTAATGTGTAAAATGTCCATTTTACCATTATGCTATTATTTAATAAACAATTGAAAAATGATAAAATAATCTTTTGAACATTTATAAATTATTTTTGTAGTGTTGTTAATTTAAAATTATATATTAAATAAAAAATACAAATTATAAATTTAATTTAATTAAAAATAATAAATTAAAAATTATGGCCTTATAATTTTTTTAGTGTTGTTAAAAAATTAAATTTATATATTAAATAAAATTATTTTTTTAGTGTTGTTAATTTAAAATTATATATTAAATAACAAATATAAATTATAACGGGAGATGCACCAATAAATCTCAAATTCTAATTTTTTGATCCATTTAGTCCTAACTTTAATCTTATAAACCAATAAGTGCTATCATAGTGTTAAAGACCAAGTTGCCCATGTTTTATTTTGCAAAGTAAAGGTAATTGTGGGTTTTGTTGATGTTGAATTTACGCGAATGCCCCAAATATTCACCAAAGGGAATATTGGTTTCCCTCCAAAACAATCGGAACGGGAGAGACGTAATAGGAAATTTGTGCTTTGTTCCGATATTAATGGGATATTGGTTGGTGTGTTGATGATATTCTGTGTGGATTGGTACTCTGATTAGAACAGTCCTTCAGGTGTGTATTGCCGTCATTACGTTTATTGATTATTAGGGTTTCAGGTGTCGTGTGATTTTGGTATGGGGGTTTCGAGTGTCGTGCCATTTCGATGTTGTGTTTGTTGTTGGTGTTGACATCTGTGGTGTGAGTGGGTTTGTTGAATTGTGTTGGGAATTACTATGCGTTGTTGCGTCAATGTTATTGCTGGAACGTTAGTGTAGAATGTGTAGTCAGTTAATCGTATATTGTGTGTGACATGACGGTGGAACGTAGCTAACATTTGTGTAAGTGTGGAATTGGATTGGTGTCATACTTTGGTAAGTGGTTATATGGGCCCTGTGTTGGCCTCTGTGATATACATGGTTATTAATCTGCATCGTACTGTAAATCTACCACGCATGAATGTTGTACACTACTGAAGCATATTGAGATGTGTTATCTATGTCAATATGGGATGTGGTCGTAGGGAAATTGTGGTTGTTCGGCATACTCTTGGATTCTTGGGTTAAGGTTTATGTTGATGTTGGTACGAAAGGTAAAATTCAGTTGTGTAGTGATAATTGTGAATTTGTGAATTCTGATCATAGGCAATATGAAGCACACATTGTAGTTAACGTTGAATTGGTGTTATGGCCGTTTATTGGCATTGGTGTACATGCCTTTGTTTTGGATCTATAAATCAGTATGTTTGTCCGGCCCGAACATTCGACTAACGACATTAGCATTCTCACCATCCTCCATACAAACCACTCTCCCAACGTTGAGACCCGATCCCACACCCCGTGATTGAATGAGGACGTCAATGTATTTTAAACCGAATAACTTTGCAAGACACATGTTTTGGATGTCCTCATCGCCGACCACCTTAAACTTATTGTACCCAGGCACATCGAACAACATATGAACCGCACCTGGGACCAATCCATCAAATTTCCCATATATAACATCGACTAACCGTGCGTACGACAACGCGTGATGCAACTTAATGACGACGTTGGTTTGTCCGTAATTGCAGAGTAGCAAAATAGCAGTGTCCACACCTGTGGCATAAATAAGAGGAAAAAAAAAACACATAATGCGGTTCACAATGTAACATCGAAACCCATACCAGAAATAACAACCTATTATGCACAAATCATCTGTGCCATGCAAGTATCCATTTGCATTACAAATTACACAGCAAAACCACCACAACATACCACCAGAAAAAACAACAGTCACAGACCATTGCCACCAGTAATGAACTCGAACAAAAATCAAACCATTACAAACAAAAATAACACCATAATACACACACTAACATCACGAATAAACCCACAGAAACTGTTAACCCCCAAACAACAAATGACTCACCTATTACAGTTTGATCGGCAACGCAACACTCCACACAAAGCACCTGTTGGAACGGGAAAAACACAACAAACCAAAAACAACTCACCACTATCTCTGCTCTAAACAAAGGTAACGTTAACCAATACAAGCATCTTGGGAAACGCCAAACAATCCATATCCATTACAAATTGATTTGCCGAAAATATGGAAAATACATCACAAAAGGGAACACAAAAGGGTAATCATGTAAACTACAATCTCACCAAAATCACCCAAATATGATTTTCCAAAAACATAAGACTAATTGGTCCATAAAAAAACTCTTAGGACTAAATGGAATAACTTTTCCTCATATAAGATTTTTGAGTAAATTTTCCATTATTAAATTATAAGTTTAATTTAATTAAAAATAATAAATTAAAAATTATGGCATTATAAATTAATTTTTTTTAATGTTGTTAAAAAATTAAATTTATATATTAAATAAAAATATTTTTTTAGTGTTGTTAAATTAGAATTATATATTAAATAAAAAATATAAATAAATTTTATATTAAATAAAAAATATAAATTATAAATTTAATTTAATTGAAAATAATAAATTAAAAATTATGACCTTATAAATTAAAAATTTTTAGTGTTAAATTATAAATTACAAATTTAAAATTATATATTAAATAAAAATTATAAATTATAAATTACAAGGGTAAAATAATCTTTTGAACATTTATTCTTATCCAGTCCGTCCAACCAAACATTGGTTCATTAAAAATAGTCCAGATATCTAATCTCATGACTAAACAAACATAGGATAAAAATCCAATCCAACCAAATAATTTAGGGACAATGTATCCCAGGACTTACGGCCGATGGATTACAATTCTCTTTTATCCAGTTCATCATCTAAACAAATACACCCTAAAAAAATTAAAATATCTACTAGTTTGTGCGATTTATATTCCAGAAAATAGCACAAACTATGAGTCATCCAGTTTGTGCTATTTTTAGTTTCAACATTCACTTTTCAACAAATTATTATTTTTTTTTTCTGTGTTTCTTTGTTTTTATTGATTTTTTTAAAATTTTTAAATACACTTAACATAAATATACTTAAAATATATAATATTTGTAAAAAAAAATCTTTAAAAAATTCACTAAATACCAAAAATAAAAAAAGACACGATAATTTAATACATTTTAATATTTTGTGTATTTGTTAATTTTTTTTGTAAATATTTTACTTTTTAGATACATCTAAATAAAATACATCTAAAAAAGTACAAAAAAATTCTTAAAATTTAAAAAATATTCACTAAAAACAAAAAAAAAAATATGAAAAATAAAAAATTTAATTCTCAGAAAATTGAAACCAAACACTGTTTAAAAAAAAATTATGCGAGAAAAATAAATAGGGACTTTCAACTATTACTCTTATTTTCCAGTTTATTTATTGAGATTTCTCCTCCACTATTAAATTTTTTTGTACCAGTAATATATTGTTTTTGACGAATGTAATTCACTTGTAATAATGGCTTTCCTCATTTTGAAGCCCAAGACAGTGGTGTACATGGGTTTGCACTTGGGCCGGCCCTGTTCTAAGACACTCTCTTCTCTTCCTTCCAGAAACATGAGCGGGAGAGCGATTCTTGCGAAGGATTCGAGCCGTACTAAAAAGTCCTTTTTGTTTCCCTCCAATCCCTTGCTCACTTTTTCTTCACGCAAATAACTTCTTTATTTCACACTACCATGTTACCCAGAGGAAAGTAGTTCGAAGGTTCTTTATCTATATACCGCCCACCACTTCTACTACTACCGTCACAACAAAAAAGAAAGCAGTTGGAAGCTTCTTTTTATCTATATAATACTATTACCATTTGAATGTGTCCAATTTGATGACCCCACCTTCCCAACTCCTTATAAATTCTCTCCTTTTTCTTCAATCATCTTCAAACTCACTCTCTCTCTCTCTCTCTCTCTCTCTCTCCTCCATCCATATACACTCAACAGAAAACATAAAAAGTGCAACTATATACATATACATGTACATGGGGAACAAAATTGAGGCAGAGAAGCTGTCAAAGATAGCAAATTTAACAACAGGCAAGAACAAAGTTGTAGTCCCTCCGGTTAGAGGAAGTGTTAAGCGCTGCATGTTTACAACTTTTTCCAAGAGTTTGAAGCTCATGAGCTTATGCCTCATCAATTCCGCTCCCTGCAACAAAAAACTATGAAGATTGTTATAACCATCTTTTGTCTTCTGTCCCAACCAAATTTATGCAAATTCTCACCCATTTGCTTCCTTTCTACAGTTGCAAATACTGTATTTTTAAGGAAAATAAGCTCTTGTGAGGGCGAGCCTTCAGTGTAGTTTTGTTTATAGCTTTTAAGTTGAAATCGACTATTAAGAATCTTGAGAAGTTGAGAAGGAATATTTTAACTTCTGTTTTCTGATAATTAATTTTTACCTTGTAGACTACATGAAATAAATCTGCATAATCAAAGTACCAAAATTGGGGATTAATTAGGTAGCTCAAACATTCTTCTATGATGGTATGAACTAAAATCCCAAAGCATTTGCTATGCAACAGACTGAAAATGAACCCAAAATCTTTTCTGGGACTGGGACAAGAGAGACTATAGGTCCTTGCCAAACCTAAACCAGTTTCAAAATTCCACAGAAGGTACACTAAGCAACATGATTGTCACAAGAAAAAAAAAACACACACACATTTTCGGCAGCTCCAGAATATGATCTTTCAGTTGGTGCAATGGTAATCAAATACTAGATTAACAAATTCTTCCCTAAAAAGAAAGAAAAATACAGAGATTTTATAGGACGCGCATGCATGTATTGTCAACAATAGTGGTGAAGGCCTTGGCAAAAGAATCAGAACTTCTAACCTAACAATGGAGATCTTGGGACAGTAGCTGCATCACATCAGCATAATTATTGATTTCACCCACCATCATATTTGGCGTAGGCAATAGCTTTGTTGTGAGATATCAATCATATGATCAAAGAAATTATAATTAGATTCTCAGCATTAATGCGAGAAAGAATAACTTTGTCGATCATCTCTGTATTATCCTCAGTTGATGTAAAATAATGCACATCCAAAAGCAATTACAATTAGTTTCTCATCTTTCACAGGCCTGCTAGCATTGTCATTGTGAGCTAAGCATGCTGCATCAGAACAATTTAATTGATGATTTTGAGTAATTAGGACTGACCGTCTATTTTCAGTGACATAAGTAGTATGTTGGGGTTTTAGATTGGTGTAATTTGTTGTCAAGAATTGTTCCAAATGAACAGGAGAACATAGGCTGACTATTAAGAATGAGCAACAAAAGCTAATCACACCAGTTGATTCCGAGGCAGCAGAAGGAAAATCCATAATCACTCCTTCAACAAATAACTGAAAATAATCAGTTACTGCAGATACTCAGCTGTTTGATCATAGCTATATTTGTAACTTGCAGGTTTATAATTAGCGAAATCAGAAGCATATACTTCTAGAACTTGTTTGTGAGGATCAGAGTATTAGCATCCTCCCAATACATAATTCTTTTGGAATAAGAATTCCCTATGCAAATGACTGATGGTGGAAAGATTCTCGTGTTAAACCGTATGTCTGCTTGGTTGTGGGTTCAACATGTGTCTGTTTCTAGGAAGCAGAAAATAAGATTTGTCTTCCTTTTGTTAACTTTTCAAATTAGTTTCTTCTTTGAGTAACTGATCTCAGGAAATGAAATGTAATTAGTTTATCACCATCACTTAAAGCCTTTTGAACATGTAGATTGAATCTGTGTTGTGTGCAGAATAAGCAATACTGCTATAGATAGAAGAAAGAAAGCAAGTATGTAGCAGGTGAAATTATTCAAATATGTGTGACGGACATATTTCAATTTCTTGGCAAGCATGTCTGAATATAAAAATTTGAAGAAAGTGAAAACTAGAGTGAGATAGAGATAGAGAAATACCTGAACATTCAAAACTGAGGGTGGTTCATGCCTGTTGCATCATCAACAGTAGATATGGATATTGGCAGTATAATATCCAACAAGTTTGTTGTCACTGCATGAGATGAACATTACACCATCGATAAAATAGTCATGCTCAGTCCTGAAGAATGTTTTCATATGTGATTGAGAGCATCTCTAATCCTCAACCTTTTTCTCATCAAAGTACTCAACAATCATCTCCATCCATCCCATTCATCAAACGTTCATCAAATCAAGGGAGAACCATTTTTTCATCAAATCCTTCATCAAGTTAGAATTTTTTGAAAATTTAAGAAGATGAAGCATTGGAGGGTTTTTTGTTTTTTTTCAAGAGAGGAATTTTTAAAAAAGATTTTGATGAAAATGTGCTGAAAGGGTTGGAATAGTTCATATCAAATCAAGCTTTTCACTCAAATTTGAAATCAAATTAGATGAAAAAAAATTGATGAAGGGTTCAAAATTTTGAATACAGACAAATCAATCCAAATATATTCCATTTTCTTTATCTTTTATATTTCACTTACATTGGATCAAATGTCTTCTTGATATAACAGCATAGGATGTAACAAAATGGAGTCTTCAAGAAACAATGAACACAATCTCATATTCTCATGTCATTCACCAAAATTCTATGTGCACAAAAAATTTTAAGTAGTGGGTTTGATTATGTAGACGGGTGGATTTTCATTTACCATTAAAAATAAATAAATAAATAAATAAAAACAGATTATACAAGCAATTAAGGTATCTTATTATTTTTCAACTAAATGTTCACATAAAATTTAAGATTTTTAAAGAAACATCAATCAAAAAAACCTTAAACCCTATTCATACACAGGTTTTCAATTCTGCTTACCTGGTTTTGGATAACTCCTAGTTTCTAACAAATGCAATTTCACTGAAAATCAACAAGAACAAAACATAAACCCAACCCACCAAAAAGAGACATCAGATTTTTCAATTGAAATCAGATTACAATAATGTGATCTAGCCAACATTGCAATTTCATTTCAGTTTCATGTATTTGCTAACATTTGCAGACTATTCAAAGAAGGAATTGATAGTTCATAAATTACATTTTGTATATTTTTCTTCATTAATTTGAAACTCTTATCATTCTTAAGATTACAAATGATCAAATAATAGATAGAGAAGTATAAAGTTAAAATGCACAGCAAATCAAAATTAAGATTTTAAACACCACTCACATTATCATTAGTTTGCAAGTAACAAAGCCTATTTTACACACTCCCAAAACAGGGTTTAGAGACATATCATCACACATGTGAACACTACAATTCACATATACAATTGAATAGTTGTATACATTAATTTCAACCAAAGATTTCAATGGATTTAACATCAGGATTCCTAACCTCAACCTTGGGAACTGTAACGGTAAGTACTCCGTTCTCCATTGAAGCCATGACCTCATCCATTTTCGCATTTTCCGGCAGCCGGAACCGCCTCGTGAACCCGCCGGAGCTGTGCTCGACATGGTGCCAAGTATCGTTCTTCTCCTCCTCGAAATTCCTCTCAACGCTGATCTGCAAAACCCTACCGCCCTCCTCGATCTCGACCGTCACTTCCTCCTTCAGACCAGGAAGATCGGCCTTGAACATATGAGCTTCCTTTCAGTCCACGCGAGTGCTCGCGAATGCCGAATTTTCCCGCGAAGGTTGAAGGCAAGGGAAGTCTAGAGAGAAGGGATCGAAGATGGGTGCCTCGTCGGTTGCCGAAGAAGATGCTTGGGATCAGCGACGTCTTTTGCTTATTGGATTTGATAATGAAATGGAATTCAAGGAGATAAAGCTAGTTGAGTTTGATTTGCAGAGTGTTTGTTTACTTACAACTGTGTTTGGTTGCCGAGAAAATAGGACATAGTTGAACGTTGATCCGAGAGAGGAAATGTTCGTGTCAAACATATTTCATAAAGCTTGTGTTGATATAGACGAGGAAGGCACAGATCATCTGCGATTTCTCTTTCGCCGGTCGGCCATGAAACTGCAATACGTAATCTCGTCTTCCTCACTCTCTGTTGCGTAACAATCTAAGATCTGGAGTGCGTCATAGTGTTGAGACCCGTCTGTCTCAACACCGCTCTCTCTAGCTGCCATTCGCAACTTTTCTGTGTTGATATCATCATATCTGAATCCAAATCACAGAGAGAGACCACCACACAGTCTAGGCACCATTCACAGTGGAGTGGAAGGCTGCAGCTGGGTTTTGCTCGGTGGCTGGCATCACAGAGAGAGGAACAACACAGTGCCCTTTACCTGTTCGACAAAATGCCCCAGTGAAACCTTGTCACTGTGCTATCATAAGATGATTAAGGAGAAAGAGAAAGAGAAAGAGAAGGACAATGAGAGGGACAAAGAGGCTAGTAAGTTATCATTGAAGAAGGGTAAACTAGCGGAGAGCAAACTAGTCAATAGTAAATCAAAAAGTAAATCTTTGACTAAGGTATCTTTGAAGGAGTTTGTAAATCAGGTGGATCAATTATCTACTGATGATATGCCTAATGTACTTTCCCGCTGGTCTACACGCATTCGAGGCCCCCCTAAATCTCTTTCACTTGGAGATTTTGTGGGACCGTGGCAAGGGCCCTCAAATGTAAACAAGAGGGGATTGAGGGACGTAGATTCGGAGGATAGCTCAATTGAGTGTGATTGTGATCTTGGTACAACACAGTTTCACTGGACTGTGGAAATGCAAGCCTCACCTGAGCAATTACCAAAGCAGCATCAAACACCTAATGCGTGGAACACACCAACTAGAGTGCTAATTGATGTTGAGCAGTGGCCAAAATTGACCACTGTGTCCCCATTGGTGGCAAACGAAATGATGTTGTCAAATAAATTTGGCTCACTTTAGTGCTGATCAAAGGAAAGAAGTAATGGGTTCCAAGCAACGAGAGAGTGATAAGCCCGTGCGAGCTTGTCGAAATGAGGATTCGGTTGATCTACATATGGAAGATGGTAGTGAAGGTCTGGATACACTTGCTATATCAGGTAAACCTCTACAAGTTGGGAGCTCTTTAATTAAAGAAGAGATTAACAAGGTGTCAAAATTGAAGTATAAAATAGGTGCCCATAAGATTGAGAACCAAGTAGATGGCATTTACAATGTCCCTATTGAGATCTCAAAAAAAGGCTTTTCTCATTGGGAAAATGCTTTGGTTGGATACTTCATTGATAAAAGATTCTCTTTCCATTATGTGAAAACTTGGGCGAAGAAACTTTGGGGAAATTTGCTTGAGGACGTTGTCTCCATTGACAATGGTTTTTTTATTTTTAAAGTAAAAAGTGAAGAGGCTATGGACACAATCTTGGAAGATGGCCCCTATTATGTTGGGGCTAGATTGATTGTTATTAAAAAAAGGCAACCTGGACTAAAACTAACAAAGTGTGAATTTTCAAGTGTGCCATTGTGGGTGAAGTTGTACAATGTTCCTTTGGAACTTTGGAGTGAAGAGGGTTTGGGTTACATAGCTAGCATCTTGGGAACTCCTCTTTATTTGGATGAGCCAACTTTCAAGAGAAGCAGACTTACATTTGCGAGAATTTGTATTGAAGTGCCAGCAAATAAAGAGATCCCTAAGTCTTTCAAAATAAATCTTGCAGCAAATAAAGAGATTCCTAAGTCTTTCAAAATAAATCTTGGTTATGGTGACCCATATGAGATTCAAGTTGAGGTACCATGGAAGCCCTAAAGGTGTGATGGTTGTAAGACTTTTGGCCATACCACTAATTTGTACCCTCAAAAGCTAAAGTCTTTGAACCCTCCCTCCTTCAAACATGAGTGGAGAGTCAAGGACACTAAAACACAAATTCCGACTAAATGGGAAGTGGTGAAGAAAAAGGGGAGAGATGGTGGGCAAGGTTTAACGCCATTGATCAACAAAGAGAGAGAGACGTAGTCTTTTATCCCCTCAACATCTAATGCCTTTGATGTCCTTGAATCGTGTGATATGGACGAGTTAGGAAATGGAGATTCAAGTCAAGAGTTGAGAAATAGAGGGAGTCCATCTCTAAGTGATCCTAGTTATGGGGAGACTTCAAAAGAGGATAATAGAAGAAAACTTAAAGCGAAACTTCATGACTTAAAGAATGCTAGAAGGAAATTCTGAATCCTTGTTTTGTTGGGAATGTTGTGCTTGTTTTCTATAAGCTCAGTTTGTTTTTTGATGGAGTAGTTTATTTTGTTTATTTTTGTGCTCCCATCAAAAGCTGTGTATTGAATTTCATTGTATATCTTTCTTTTTTGGTTATAATATGACTTACTTATCCAAAAAAAAAAAAAAAAAAAAAAAAAAAAAAAAAAAAAAGAGAGAAAATAGGAACATGTTAGGCATTTAATGCAAGGAGGGAAAAAGTGTAAAGATTATGATTTGTATGTTATATTTTATTTTATTAACTTATGTAGTTAATGTTATTTTTGTATTTTTTTAGCTAAAAATCCAAAACAATACCTAGCTTAATAGTACCTGTAAATATTTGATTTTTTTTATTGTAATATATTTGATAATAAATTTTGAATCTTATTCTAAATAAAAATAATTAAAGATATTTTCTTTGCAAATAATCCATTTTGAAATGTAATGGCATTTTTTTTTGATAAATAATGTTGGCACTTTCTTAATTATAAAGTTCTGTTTAGTTTGGTTTTTAGAAATTTTTTTCTAAAAAACTAAAAATTATATTTGTAAAAAAAAAAATTAAAAACACATTTTAATTTTCAAAAAACACATTTTTAGTATAATTTTAAAAGTAATTTTATCTTTTGGAAATGTATAAATAAGTTTTAAAAGTAATTTTTTTATATTTATTTTCTTTAAATTAGTTTTTATTTTTTCAAAAATCAAATATGACGACAACTTTGATGTCATTATTAAACCAATCCGTTAAATCAAAAAATCCAAAACTAAAAATATTTCATGTATTAAATATATCAATTACACATTAAAAACTTAATAATCATCCATTACATGATAACTATCCAAAAATATCTATTAACAACAAAAACAAAAACAATTACTCATTACATAATTATCATCTAAACACATACTAAAAATTAATTTAGTAAAAAAAATAAATATATAAAAATGCAAAAAAATTATTATTTTTATATAATTTTATTTTTGATGGGCATAAATAATTTTTAAAAAATTCAAAAATAACTTTTTGACATTTATTTTTGTCAAACTAGTTTATAACAAATCAATGACTTTACCCTTGAAATTGAACATTTTCTATTTGCAAAAGAAATAGTGTCTTCAATTGTCCTTATTTAGACAAAGATTTAAAATTTAAGGTCAAATGTATCACAATTGAAAAGTCAATGATCAAAATAACACAAATTCTAAACTACAGACACTATTAATGTAATTCGTCCAAATTATTTGTTTAAAGCCAATTTGGCCCAACATGTAGTAGGCCTCACGAATAATATTGGAGATATCGAATGAATTACTAAATATTCTACACACTTTAAATGAATTACGAAAGCTAAGAGAGTGAATGGGATTAGATACTCTAGTTGTCGTAGCTGTGAACAACGGATACTAGGGGCTGTGCGTATCGATTTGTGCATATTGTTGTTACCAACGCATTAAGTGTCCCGCTTGGAGAGTACGTTTGCAAGAATGAAGCTTAAAAAATTTGGTAATTTATTTGGGCTCTCTAACACTTTTGGGGATTGGTGTAATTTAATATTATTATTTTAGGGATACTTTTTACATATTTGTCTTTTGTTTTGATATTAAAAAAAATTAAGATTTTTTAAATGTATGTTTTATATTTGTGAAATTATTATTTGGTACTCATAATGATATCGAGAAATTTATTAAAATGATAAATGATTGGAACATTTTGATTTTTGTTTGTGAATTTTAATTTATTTGTGTTAATTTATAGTGAAAAATATAAGTAGTTGAATTGTATTGTTAAAAATTATTTTTGTAATGAAAATATATCATTAAAAATTAGAGTAAGACCTATGAATAAATAAGTCTGACCCATAAAATCAGTTGTAATTGCGCCTAATATTTAAGGAAAAATAACTTCCCAATGGTAACTGACACCACTAAAAAAGTTTCATCAATTGCAATATTAATGAAAAAAATAAAAATAATTACCAAAGGATGAAATCCTTAAGTAAAGGCTTGGGTAAAAATTTAGAAACATGAAATAAATTTGGGTCACCACAACCCCTTTCCCCTATTGACGTCTCCTTCCCTTATTGTTACACCTCTTTCCACCACTAACCCATTCCCTTCTTTTCTTTTTCTCATTGTCACGTTGGATTTGGTTCTTTGAAAAAGTTTCATTTGACTCTAATTTATTGAACAAATTAAGAGAGTGAAATTAAAATTTTATGGTAAGGCAAAATTGTAATAATAAAAGGTAAATGCTACTAGCATCTACATCTTTTATTTGGACCACCCACCTATAATTTTTTATTACAAATTTATTCTATCATAAAATTTCATTTTTACTCTTAATTATCCAAACCTTAACCCTAAATCCCCTCCACTCAACCACCACGCATCATTACTATCACTAGTTACTATTAGGGATGGTCATTTTAATCTAATCCGCAAGGACCCGTTCATACCTGTCCAAATGGAGCAAATTTTACCTGACTTGACACTTATGTGAGGCGGGGGGGGTATCACATCTCCCGATCTAAACCCAACCCGATATAATTAAAAAATGTATAAAAATAAAATAGTATATATGTATATGTATATATATAATATAATTAGATATAAGAAACGAATACTAAAAGTCTATGGTTCTGTTTAAATATAAATAAATAGTAATCATAAAAGTCTTACTGTTTATATAAATGAAAATAAGAGAAATTATTTAATATATTAAGGATTTAAATGATTCTTAATTTTTTTGGCTATTAGAAATGCGGTCATGTATCCATGGGTATCAGGTATCCACGGGAGCGAGGGTGGGGTTGAAAAAATCCACTCGTACTGGGAGTGGGGGATAACAAACCCGCCCCAAACCCGTCTCATGGCCATCCCTAGTTGCCATCCCTAATCCCTTTCCATTGGGACCTGCAAAACTAACAAAGCCGTTAAAGGCTTCATAATTTCGGGAACGAAATATCCTAAGATAGGGAGAGTGTAACACTCTGTATTCCTTAGACTAGTGGGATTGCTCTTGACACTCTTATTATTGTACTTGGAGCCTCTTTGATTCATTTTAGAATATTGATTGAGGTGGTTTATAATGGTAAAGTACGATTGAACCAAAAACATTGGTTCGGATAATTGTCCTATGAACAGTCTTTACTCTTTTTCCTTTTTATCTTTCCACACTTTTGAATGTGAAACTAGAACTATTGAAAAACTTGTTTTCGGGGCTTAGATTT